TCTCACAAGTCTTGTAAATAAGAAGGAGCAATTTAAGGTAGCATTAAAAAGATACTTAATTACACACTCCTTTTACTCTGTCAATGAATTTATGTTGTTTACAAATAAGTGATAAATTTTTCTTGTGTGTAATGGGTAGATCTATTTGTAGCTTATCATTTCTCTAGGTGAATACTTTGTTTTGTATTATGTGAAATTTATATAATAGTACGAATTGTACTTTATAATATGTATTGTATTATTATTATTTTTATTATTATGACTTTTTCCACATCCTATTGTCATCTGACTGTCTTATGGATCCATGGAATGTAAATAAATTATTATTATTATTATTATTATGACCTAAATTTTGTACGCATTTCTCATCTCTTATGCACACTACACACTACTTTAGCTCTATGGAACACTACTGGATTTATATGCATGGAATTACATCATCAAATCCTGGTCAATTTTTTTTTCATGTGGCCACCACATTGTTATTTTACATTATACAAGGAATTACTGTATGAAACTTCTATTTTCTGAAAACACATAACCATGTATCACTGAATGGCCTTGTTACAACTGGCACTAGTGCCAATTCACCTCACAAGTTTGTACATCCACCATGCTGGTATTACCAACTGTAGGAAATTGGTAAGTACAATTTTAGTGTAGTCCCCAATGGCATAATGTCAATATAAAATTTCAAGCAAATCCATCCAACAGTCCTCAAGTTGAATCATGCAGAACAGACAGATATGACCAACATTATATGCAATAAATTAATGCTCAGCATGCAAATAACACATAATAACACTTACTTGCAGCTACTTCTAGACAATGTAATTTTTAATATTTGCATGTTTTAATTATCACTATAATTGACACTAGTGATGGAAGACCTGTTACCCAGATATTCTTTATCCAAAAACATGATAGGCATATTTCAACTTTAAACAGATCTAAACATGCACAGTGCCAAAGAATTATTTAAAATAAGCTCAGTCAGTATACTGGCTGGGCTACAGATGTGATGACCAGGGTATAATTCCCATCATGGACCAGACTTTTTTCTTTGCTACCAGATCAAGACAAGCTCTGGGGCCCACCTAGACTATTTAATTGTTACTGGGGGACTCTTCCCCTGGAGTTAAAAGAGCTAGAGTATGAAGCTTATCACATGCCCTGAGTTGGGATTAACAGATTATGGAGCTATACTTCCATTGCTCCATATGTATTCATGGCATGTACTTAATGAAGTACAGGAACAAAATCAAAATAATGAAGGAATGTTCTGACATAACATACCTCTTTTGGAAAGAATGGTGCCATAATGGACATTGAGCAGAAACTGATAAAATCAACAAGAGCTAGAGAAGTTAGTGCCAGTTTTTGGGTACGGCTGAAATGTCTAATAGATCCAGGCTCAGGGTGCCTCTGTGTTCTCAGGAGACGCTCACGCATGCGTCGAATTTCACCAGCAGAGTATTTGTTCAGCTGACAACCTGGTAATGATTGACTGCGAACACATCGTTGTCCCCGTACTCTGCATTGTCTATTTCTTTTCTCCGCCCTTCTTTTCCATGCTGATTTGAAATCTGGAGTTGAAGAAGCTGGAACCACTGATGTGGGTTCTACATTTCTCTCTGTTCCTCTGTTACTGAGTGATTTTGAAGATTCTGGGCCCTCATGAACTTCTGAAGCCTCCATACCAAATCCTGAATGGAAAACAGCATTACTATTAGTACGCATTGCGTGACAGCACTAAAAAGGACCAAATGAATCCTATTCAATCACAACAGACTTCCTTCACTTAAACAGTAGTCTTATAAATACACAATGATTTCTGTTACTTGGTGAAGAGATCTGAGTGTATTAATACTGCATTCTCATTTCATCAGAGGAAGCACGCTAAAATTAAGTGAAACAAGTGTATTTTCCTCTTCTCACATATACCAAGGGACAGGTGACATATTTTAAACACTAGATGTGTAGAAGGTAAAATGCAGCATTGCAAAACACCATATAACAGATGAGATCTAGTGACCATGCGCCCTGTACTACACAGCTTTCCTCGAAGGTTCTTCGCGTTCATCATAGAATGCAGCACGTTATAAGCTCGTCGTCCACAAAACATGGCGAAGGAATAGCGATTGTCGAGAGTATGAAATTATTTGTGTCAGATTTGTGTATTTTGGGGTCAATGCCTATTCTGTAATATCACAAAGGAGATGTCTTCAATACATTTTGTAGTCCACCCTCTCCCAGGAAGTGAAGATCAACTCAATGACAGGTAAAACATATTTTTCTTGGACTTGAGTAGGCTAGCTTCAACAGGCAGGTTTAAGGCCTAACATCATTCATGGCCGATTTGTGTAGTGGACATTGAATCACATCTAAAGGAGATATAAAAACCACTCGGAATAATGAACATTCGAAAAGTTCCTTTATAATAGGATTTTTAAAATCGTTTTGCAATCGAAATAAGTGTTACGAGACGATGTGTACGATCTAATAATTTGCCAGAAGGCTTGCTGTAGAACATTTAATAGGGTTCGCAGAATTGGGTAAAAGTTCCCAAATGTCAATTTTTTCATTAGGGAAATGACAGTAAATGATGTATTCTATGTGAAAACGCATATAATTGACAAAGTTTCATGCTGCGTTGCGTAATAATGGAACATGGCTTTCCTTCTTGCAGTTGCCTCTGTACAGGTCAGAGAGCCATGTGTGGTTTATGATTGTTAATTTTTGGTTTTGTATGTATGCCCGATTTCTATTTTTGCATGCCTTTTTGGGTATAACTTTACAGTATAATGAGTTGACATGGATAAGTTGATTTATTTGTGTTTGGTCCAAGAACCATAAATATAACCCAAATTTGGTAACACGTTTGGGTGCTGTGGATGTTGGAATAATTGTGTAGGGATTAATGTCTGGAGAAAATGAAAGAAATTGATGCTGATACTTGTGAATTACACATCCCTTACTCCTCCTCACTCAATTTTTAGCAGTCATCCAACTGCACTGTTACCAACTTCTGCATTATTTTGTTGTTGAAAAGTACCGAGCATTTCTTATCTGACACAGGGTAAATAGATAATAGATTATTCTGAAAATTAAGATACTGTGAAGTGCAAGGAAGAAGAATGGAGGTGGGAAAGCAGACTGAAAAAGACTGTTTTCTTGGTCTTAGACTCTTTCCTCCTCCATTGTTTGTTTCTGCTATTTTTAGCTCTCCACATGACCTCTCAGTTGCAACTACAGTGCATTAGTTTTTAACAAAATGTACTGAGTATTTTCAGTGTGATATAAAATACTTCAGTCCTGAAGATGGAGACAATAATTTTCTCCAAATGTTGATATGTGCCAGCAAGTCCACCAAGCTTTGCAATCTAGAATACCAATATCTTCACTTAAATCTCCTATGCTGTCAAAAATTAATTCAAAATTGAAAGTTTTAACATGGCTTGTCATTTGAATAATATATGGTACATTCTGTTACAGGAGGCATTAAAAAGTGTGAGATTCTTTATAATATTTTTAATGTCTTATTTGTGGTTTATATGATGACACAGTAGCTGAGTTTATATATTGCATAGTGGTTAATAAATGAATAAAGGATATGGAAATAAATGGTCATAGTTTAAAGGTATTATCCTGGCTTCCACCTTGATAAGTCTTTTAGAAATTCATAATAGTTAAAGAATGCATATGTGTGTGCACATGTGTGCTTTTGTGTTTAAAAAGAAAATATACTTTGATAATGATCACAAATAGCCCAAGAGACTTCTAAAAGTAGTGTAGCTTAACCTTCTGTTGTCATGTGTAACACAATTAATTAGCTGCTGTTTCTTCTTTATTGCAAACAGAAGTTATTATTTCTCATTATCTTATAACACATAGTTTATAATACCCTGATAAAACAACAAACAAAGAATTAAAACTGATGCATTTAGTGACTAAAGCAGTGTCAGTTTAACAAATTGAATAACTGTCTTAACTCCAGTGAACAGAGTTTGTCCTGAGAAAGTACACTCGGCTAACCAAGAAGAAACCAGAAGGTTCATTATTGTGTTTACAAGAGCTGAGCATCAGTCCCTATCCTCAATCAGATAAATGTAATCCACATCCTCCCATCTTATTTCCCCAAAGGGCCCCATACACTGCATTCTTTTACAACACATTTACAGGTATTAGCAAGACTGCCAGTATATGAAACAAAACTGGCTGTTTTATAAAACATATGTGTTTTAAAACTGGAATGAGAAAAATCAAATGAGCTTGATTTGTTGGCATACATGACTACTAGATACAGGTGCAGTGGCTTGTATGTGGTATCAGCCAGTATGGGTTTAGGATTTAAAACTGTATGGCATGTGGGCTCACACAGGATATGGGTAAAACTGGTGGACATACCCATATTTAGAAACCTGGTAGTTTATGGCCACGCTAAGACCCATTTTAATGTTACCTCTTATCTACACCTTGGTCTTCTGAATGGTCTGTTCTCTTCAAGCTTTTCCAGCCAAAATTTTGTTTGCATTTATTAGCTCCCCATGTATGATACGTGCCCTACCAATCTCAGCCTCCTTGATTTAATCATCCTAATATCTGGCAAAGAGTGCAAATTATGGAGCTGCTTATTATGCAGTTGTCTGTAGCCTGCTGTCATCCCTCTTAGGTCTTGATATTCTCAGTACCCTGTTCTTAGACATCCTTTAATTTGTTTACTGAAATGTTCCTCTCCATATCATCAAGAATTTTGGTTGTTTCTCTGTCACTTTCCTTATATTTCCATTTCCTGCCTTCCAACAAATCTATTTTTTTTAATTTAAAAAATTTAAATTTGTTTTGCATTACTGACCATTTTTTCTTTCACTTATTTCATCAACGTCACTGTCTTGAAACAAACTTGGAGTTTAATTTTGTTTGTTTTCTGTTTTGGTATCTTCAGGGTGAAGATTTCACTAGTATTCTGTCATTGAAAACAGCTTAAAATTGTCTTTGTTTTATTTTCTAGGCTCAAAGAGGTTTCTGAAAAGTTGAATCGTTTTGGATCTGCCACCCCAGCTGCTCTCAGTAGTCTCAAAATTCCTGTGAAGCGTATTGTGGTTGGTCCAAGTCACTTTGCTCTGCTCTTGGAGGATGGACGTGTTTGTAGAGTCTCATTCTCCATTATCTCAGATCGACTTGATCTTAGCAAAAATGATCCCAATAAAAGGTAATATATATATTGTTTTTTCATATATATGTATATCATGCCTTAGAAGTATTTGTATTTACACATCATTTTTCTTTATCTTTAATTCTAATTTTTTAATTTGTTGTGATGCTTTGAGATGCAATTCAGCCCACTGTGTCAAACAAAAATGCTTAAGTGTATTAGCAGTAACAAATCTACAGCATTAATAATTGACTTGTTTGTTAAAGCAACATCAATAATAGCAAGGTTGGCAGCACTGGTGGTGCAGGTTCAAGCTCGAACAGTCGTCAGCTTACAAGGACACGTGCTCGCATTATGCGCTCGAATGCTTCCCTGCGGGGTGCTGCTGGTGGAGCTGGTCAGGCAGCTGGAGGCCGTGGTACACCTGGAGTAATCATGGGAGCAGGGGCTGGTGCAGGAGGGGCTGGTGGAGGATCACGACCTATTGTACCTGCCCCCTATGTGCCTGAGGAATTGGTGTCACAGGCACAGGTTGTGTTGCAGGGGAAGAGTAGGAATCTCATCATTAGGGAACTGCAGGTGATTTTGTGTAGGATACCAAAGTATAACATAGTATATGAACTGTTGTCCAGACACTTAAACTCCCTTTACTGTGAGACCAGCCCAGAGATTAAGCAACCGTGGAAAGTTAACAGAGATTTAGAATTTAGAAAATATTCAAAATACGTATATCCCAGTTTCTGCTGCTGCTTTTTGTTGTTATTATTATGACAAGTTTAAAATTGTCCTATAATGAGCATGTAGTATGAATGAAGAAGTCTGTGATGGTTCTGGGGCCATTCAAATAAATTATGTGTAGATTTTCTAAGAGTGAAAGTAACTCTAATTAATTTCTTTAGCGTACCAACCTAGATGTTAATCTGGCAGTAAACAACCTTTTGAGCCGTGATGATGAAGAAGGAGATGATGCAGATGATGCACCAGATTCCTATGTTCCAGAAGATCTGATATCACTATTAGATGGTGGTTTCCATTCTGAACATTCCGTTATCATTGATGCTGATGCAATGTTTTCTGAGGACATGTTTGGGTATTCAGCCATGAGAAGGTAAATGCTGAGAACGGTGGGAGTAAACTTTACAGGTTAACCTTTATCATATGAGAATTGCAAATTGAAACCCCCATGCTGTGGGACTGCCAGCCAGGCTTCAGTGCTGGAGATTATGTTTTAGCAATACTCTAGTGCATCACATGGTCATTTGGACCACATGTAAGCCATGCAGCATATATATGCCTGAAAACATTACTACATGTTTAAAAAATCCTTGACATGCTACTCACATAAAATTTACCCATTTTTATTCTTCTGTTAATATTTATGGGTGTAAAACTCTTGATGTAATGTGTTGTGTTATGGCATCAACTTCCTGTTTTATTCATTATCATATAAAATCTTACCAGGATTACATGAAAGAAATTGTATATTTCAAGCTTGAAATTGGTGTGTCATCACATTCGCAGCTAGTCCTTACATATTAAGCATATTGCTTGTATTGTGATTGGACATCTGTATTTAAATATGAACAGATAGAAGTGATTGAATAAAATACTGTCATGTTGGATTCTTCTTCAACTGCTTTTTAATTATTATGATACATTCAGAAGATAGACACGTTAATATCTGATTCTGCTTTCTTCAGTCGTGGAAGTACCAGTAGTCGCCGTCTTACAGCTGACAGAGACCGTGAATCAGACAGGGATCGGGACAGAGATCGAGATAGCTTTTCCCGATGGAGAGATCGCCAATACTTCGGGCCACGACGTTGGCTTGAATCTGCTCTACGTGATTCCACGTGGGATAAAGATCCGGGTAAATTATGTTTGCAGATGAATCATTTTGGCTGAGCTATGTTGGATGGGCTGTATACTTAATACATGCTGGTATATATGTGTATCTTGTCAGTAGCAGAGCATAAATTCATATGCTAGTGGGACAGTGGCAGTGCCAGTAGAATACATAAAGCATTGCCTGTTACATAAGAGCACACACAGGAAAAATGTAAAATGCATATAAAATTTTACCCTGAATACCTGAAGGGACATGAGCTGTTGCAGGACATAGGCATAGATATGAAGATATCATTGAAGTTTATCTGTGGGTCTTGAGGAAAGAAGCATGTGTGGGGGTGTGTTCTGGATTTGTCTGACACAAAATAGGATCCAGTAGAAGTAATTGGCTATTTGAGTACCTGTTTGCCTAAGAAAGATTTTACTTCATGGATTAAGGAGGCATAATGTTTGGGTGTCACCCATATTTATTTGCTAACACTTGACAAATTAAGGTAACAGGCTGAATATTTTGTTAACTCAAAAAATTCATGTCTTTATGTAATTTATCTGCATAATTTTATGACAGTCTGGATGTATGTAGTCAATCTGTGTTAAAAATGCTAATTGATGGATGTTTTTCACTGTACAGAAAACAAAAAGAAGGAATTTGCAGCCCAAAGCCCGCTTTGGATGTCAGATGAACTGGAGTTTTGGCCAGAGAGAGGAGAGCCATTGCCACAGTTCAGTTTACTGGCAGCACTGTACAGTGAACTGATAGCAGTGACAGTCAGTGGTCAGCTGTACCAATGGAAATGGAATGAAGCTGAGCCATACAGACACTCAGAGGTATGCAGACATGGCCATTTTGAAGCCAAGGATCACAGACAAAATTTATCATATAGAAGCATTACATAGTATACAATACTGGTATAATGAGAATTTATAAGATTTGGGAAAAATGCTTGTTCTAGCAGGTACTCGTAATATATGAAACTGATTCAAGTATATAATTCTTGTGGATACTCATGAAAATGATTGAAATATGTAAACTTCATGGCTGTCTTCTAACTACTAATTGTGTATATCACAGTACAGTGTTAAGTTAAAAGGTTTATGCCATTAGGGAAATTTGTTTCCTTTTGTAATAAATAATAATTCAGCATTCGTCATCTCTAGCATTATTTGAACTGAGAAAACATATGTACACGTTTCATCTCTTGTTCATACTTGCATCTGACTACTTATTAGAGCTGTGGATCTGTACTTTACAAGCATAAGTCCTACCCACAGTTTGTAAACCTGCAGGTTGTACCTATATTTTGCCTGTAGTTCATGGTGTGTGCCCGATTTTATTTTGTCTCTGTTCTTCAAGATTATGAACAATGTCAAAGAAGTCAGTCATGCCATGTTCCTGTTTATCTTTGTTGAAGAGTGTGTTTGTTGTTTGTCTTATTCTGTTGTTAAGGAAGCAATAAGAAATATAGAACCTCTCTTTAATTCTGAAAATAACTTGGAGGGATATTTAAAATTTTATTCCCTGAAAATATAGATAATTTAAATGTGGAATTTTTAGTGTGATATGATGTATTCTTTCTTGCAGAATGTCAATATTCATCATCCTAAAACAGTGGCATTGGGTCTACTGTCAGAGCGAATAGTTCAGATATCAGCAACAGTTATCCGTTGCTCTGTTGCAACAGAAAGTGGCAAGGTAGCCACTTGGTTGGATGAACTTCTAAATCATGCAGCTGTTAAGTTAGAACACCCAGCCCAGAGCTTCACAGAGTTCACTGTTGATCACATTGTCTCACTTCATACATGTACTCTTTATACTGTAGCTAGGCTGGAAAGTGGAGCTTTATACTGGTGGTGAGTGTGTAATATAAGAGTGAGGCAGTTCTGATAGACTTCGATAATAACCACATAACCCCATAAATTTAATTTTTTATCAAGTCTGAGGAAGTTTCTGGCATTGACATGTTGTAATCTGTAAAATTGTTTTCTTGAACTTTTTTCCATCATCAAAATTATAGAATAATAAAATCATATCATTTTGGAAGCTGGATTCTCCTTTCATCTTGAGGCAAAAATGGGGACATGGAAACTAAACAGTCTATGCTACTGACAAGTAAATCACAGATAAATTTATATAACATGGTACACCATAATATTATATATATTGTACTCATGTAATTGTGCATGATTCAAGAACACTTTTTTAATTATTGCATTCTCACATGCTGTGCAGTGCTATAAAATAAAATTTGCAAATTGGAAAAAATAGAGTACAAATACATAAGTGTATCAAAAGAATCATGATGGCACTAATTTAATGTAGTAACAAGACAATTTATTTTGTAATTTCTGGTAATATCACTAAAAACAACATACTGAAGGTAACTTACTGGTATTTCTAATCTCTTTTAGAAAAAGTAAATTACATTGCTGTTTCAGGGGTGTTCTGCCATTTGGTCAGCGCAAGCGGTTGTGGGAAAAGCATCGTGCAAAGTCTCGTAAACACCGACCTTCTACTGTGACAGCTGACATTGTGTGTGGAAGTCAAGTGTGCATGAAGAATAGTCCCATGTACCAACCAGGGGCCGTTGGTAAGTACTGTTACTTGCTGGGTTATTAAGTGATAATGGAGTTAAAGTTTAAAAAAATGTTTTACCCTAATCTACCGACATTTGATGGTAAACACGTTTATCCTGTTCATGTATGTCACTTTGTGTTGATATTTACATTTGGTATAATGGAAGTAAATTTCAGAATATTCTGTACCTGCTGTATTACCAAACTTTATCCTTATTTCAGTAAATTTCACCTACATATCAGTTGTTTCTTACAAATGAGATTTCACCATGTTTTATGATCATGATTTTATTTCATTTTATTTGGTTGAGGTTGAACAACAATTTAACCAGCTCTCCAAGTGAGTACTTGTAATTACAGTAAGAAGTAGGGGCATATTTGATCTAACTTTTATTAATACATCCATACATCATCATTACATTTCATTGATCCTTAAGTTAGTCAGATGGCAATAGGCACTAGAATAAGTCATAATAATACATATTACAAGTATAATTTATACTGTTGTAAAGATTTCACCTCTTACAGACAAAGGGTTCACATAAAGCAGTGATGTGTTACAAATACATCCACCGTGTAGGATTTGAGGTTATCACAGCGTAAGTCTGAAGATTGCTGTCTTCTGGGTTGTTGCGCCGTGTAGTCTGGCGATGATGATGAATTCATCGCCCTGATGACCTCTGAAACATTGGTGGAAATCTACCAGACTACACGGCACAATAACCCAGAAGACAGCAATCTTCAAATACATCCACCCATTACATACAGTAGGTATACTGCTCATTTGTGTTGTATGAAGACAAGAAAACCTTAATAAACATTATGGCTTCTTGTAAACATTAGAAACTTAAAAACAGGGTAAAAGGAGTGTGTGTAATTAAGTGTAAGTACCATTCTGAAGAACTACACTGTGATGTTGATTTAGTGCTATTAATAACAAGGAAACTGCTGTTGGTGTAAGTTATTTTCTGGTTGCTTCTCTGAAGAGTGTGTACAGATGTGTGTAAAATGCATCTATCACTAAAAGTCAGAAGTCTGGGTAAGAACTTTACTAGAATTTTATAAGTATGTCTGTGCATGCACATGTGCACATATGGACACACACTATAATAATAATTCTGGGGTGACTGGAAAAGACCTGAAATTTCATTGACATCCTGAAGGACATATTTCAACAGAACATCTATCACAGACAAGCTTTGGAACTGTAACTATCAGCTTGTAATTAGTTTGAAATTGTATTCAACTTGTTGCTGGTGCAGATGACAATGTAATCTGTAGATAGAAAACTGCATTTACAAAAAATTGAAGCTTTATCGTTGCTTGTATGGCAGCATAAAATCCATTATGACAATGCTGCCATGAGAGTTTAAGTATTTGTTTCATTGTTTCAAAAAGCTGGAAATGTAATTGGCTGTTTTTAAACACATTAATAAAGATACAACTATATGAAGTTCTTAATTTGGTGCCATGTGATGAAGACATACAGGAGTGGAGATGTATGCATTCTTAACTGCAGTGTTAGATAGAAGTGGTTAACTTCACAATATGGCCTTTTTACTTACATTCAAGAAGAAAACTTACAATACCGATCGGATAGGAGGCTGGGTTGACCCTATCTAGATTTGGTGGCAAAGAAAAAATGGTGACTTCACTGTAGAGATTGGAATATTACTGTCAGTGTGGGAGACTTCATTTATTCTGCCACTTTTTCATATTTTCAGGCTTCACAATATCAGGTGGTGTTCCTAAGGTTGGCCAGTTGCTGAATGCTGCTTGGAATTTAACGGACTTGTGTCGCTTCAAACTAATAACAGCTGCACCGCCAACACCACATCTCAGTGCTTCATCCACACCTGAGCATCGTCGTGGAGCAGACAGCAGCAGTGGTAATAACAGTGGATCTGGAGTAACTGCAGCAAGCAGCCTTCCAGCACCTGGCAGCAGTGGAAACAAAAATACCCTGCATAAAGAGACTGCTGATAGACTGGACATGCCCCCTCCTCCTTCTCCTGCATCCAGTACCTGCAGTGACACAGGCAGTATTACAACTAGCCACAGTATGTACACACATATAATTAGGACCATAGGAACCATGTTCAGTGCATATGTTCACTTATGTGCATTACACCTTTTATGCATTTCAGTTTCTGCAGTGTTTTTTCTCCCTACTTTCCTCATTTTGTTTGAACAATTGTGCTTGTAGTATCATTGCATTGAAGGGATGGGAAGTGTGGCAGTCATGTTTGAAATGTTTATATGCTCCTAGCTGAAACAGTGTAAGAATGTCATATCATTGTTTGCCATTCCACCTTTTCAGTTTTATTCTGTGCCACAATAATATAAATATCAGTTTGCCAAGCAACACTAGTGACCTTCAGTATAAGAGGGTAAGTCAGGAATTGAAGGCAGGCAGTTTTAATGAAAACAGATGCAGAATAGCCCTGTAAAAATGTATATTTATTTTTCTGCTTTGTGGCAATAACTGATGAATCAGTGTGTCTGGACTTACAGAATTTGTCAGGTGTGTCAAATGTATTTAAATTTTTGTGTCAAATTTCTTTTATGTTAAAAATTACAAACCTGGCAAAGATATGAAACTTGAAATCCTTACCCCTGTCTTACAGGTGGAATTATTCAAAGCACTGTAGTCATCATATATTCTTCATAATATATCTTGCTTTTTTGTTTTCCCTCCCCATTTCTGACAGGAATGAGGAGAGGTCATAAAAGTTTTCATCTGCTCTGAATTGTGTGGTTTGTAAGAGGGATTTATGGCCCCTGGAAAATAGTCAACTGCACAAACATTTGTTTGGTCTTCCATCTGTATATTATAGATAGTTACGGTGGCATACAGTTGCACATATCCTGAAAAATGAGCTTAACGTAACATACATCTTTTTGATTATCCCCTGCTCAGTTGGAAGGTGCAGTGTGATTTGATGGTAAGCATAGGATAGGCTGTGTTTGCATAATTTTCCTGTGTGCTAATGGTTATGCATTTCCTATTAACTGCTTTTGAAAGGAGTTTTCTGTGACATAGCTGAGTGCATTTAGTTGAGAAAGTTATTGATAATGCTAAGATTGTCAGCTCACATACCTTTCACAAGTACATTCACTTTTACTAATTATTGGAAATCTTGTATTCAAGTAACAAATTTTCTGTTTCATTTGTTTCACTATTTTTTATGCATATACAGAAAGACAGAAGCGCCCAGCACCTAAGGGAGAAGATACGGAGAAGAAGGACGAAGAGGAGTGGCAGCTGAAGGATGTAGTGTTTGTGGAGGATGTGAAGAGTGTGCCAGTTGGTACGTCTTACAGCTAATATAGGTTTATTGAACTGTTGAACTAACTGCATAGCTCATAATCGCTCAGATGGTCAAGAAATTATCTATTTTTTATGGAACCCCAAGACTCATTACCATGTTTACAAGAGCCTTTGTATTTTGGAAAAGTTGGAATTTCTTTATTGAAGAATATAATGTGCATGACACATTTACAAATGTCATCATATACTATTAATTTGTTATAATGTGATTTCTTGTGGGGTTGAAACATTCATACTACTAATTTTACTTTCCCACAATCCTGGTAAATATTTTGTGCTGTTCTTGCCCCTTACCTTTACTGCCTTTTCACAGTTTTTGAAAATATTAACAAAGTATATTGCAGTAGGTGTTTAGCTGTTGACACTGATTTCTTACCCTGAGTGGAGAACGGAAGTGAGTGTTTAAGAACAATTTGCTGATGAGATTATTTGGACCAAGAGCGATGAAGTAATATTGAAGAGTTTCTTAATCTTTCATATGGTATTATCAGGGTAATTAAGTTTTATGTAAACCCATTTTACATCTCACTGATTAAAAAAATATACTAGTTAAAGTAAGGCCTCCAAGAAATTTTGTATAGAAATTATTCTTGGAAAGGATGGGGCACCCTGGAGAAGCAAGTTTTTGAAGTGAAAAGTTGATTCATCTGGCTCAAGAAAAGTACTCTGATGGGCTTTTGTAAATAAAAATTATTCTCTGGGCTCCACAGCAATAAGGAATTTCATAAACAGCTGAATAACTATCATGCCTGTACATCAGAATGCAGTCTTCAAGCATATATATAGGTGCTCTTTTTTGCAGGTCGAGTATTGAAAGTTGATGGGGCTCATGTAGCAGTTCGTTTTCCATGCACCAAGGATTCAAAGGAAATTAAAGATCTTACAGCTGATGATACTGTTAACCTTCTACAAGATTGCAGGCTCATGAGAAAGGATGAGCTCCAGGTCAGTGATTATGTTTGTCAGGCATCTATCATAGAAGCTGTCTTCCATAACAAACAGCCAATGGAAATTGAACGGTCTTTATTTGAGTAGCACTCGGTGGAAGCTCCTAATATGTACCCCAGCAAACACAAACTGATTTCTTGAAAACCTATTGAAGCCTGACCTTCATGCCAAATGAACATTTTAAAATCTCTAGATCCAAGATTATGGACAAAAAGCTATATGTCGAAAGCTATCATAAAAATTAAACTTTGCTGCAGGTTAGGTCAGGTATTGACATTATTAATCTTCCCATGTATTGTGTTAATAGGTGATTAAATCTGGAACTACTTCCCGTGCCCCAGATTGCTTTCAGCGCATCCCACGCAGAGTAAATATAGCTGAAGGAGGCCAGATCCTCACAATCACAGTTGATGGACAGGGTTAGTAAAATACAAAATACTGTAATATGTCTGTTGAAGGTAGTCTGTAAATTATTTACCTCTTTGGTATGCCTTGTCCCAACATATTTAGTCTGCATGGCATGTGGTATACTCACAGTATTAGTAGTGTTGATTTGTGTACTGTTGAGTTACTTCGGCTCCAAACTCTCTGTTGTTTGCTTCTTTTGACATTTGGTGTACATGTATTGCATTGCAGGTATTCATGCAATAGTGAAAACAGGTATGAAATTGAGCTACATTATCTACAATCTGAGCAGTGGCAGAGCAGAACAAGACAGCCCATTCCCATCAGATACAGGTTCATTCCTGGGACTGGAACCACAAAACATCAATCTTACAAGTGCAGGAGAGGTATGTGTGATCTAAAGTAATGTGCGTAAAATGGAGGATGTGGTTAGAGCTTGTAATAATAGGTACACGAGAATAATGTTGTTGCAGCCAAAGATGTGCAAGGATATAACAAATTGAAGGGGAATAGATTATGGCTTGGCAAACATTGCAGTGCAGCCAGAAGCAGTGAAAGTGCTTAGACTGTGACGTTCCAGTTACGTAAACATTTCCACCTTAAATCTGTTTAGTAATTAAACTGGCTCGGGAATCACCTCCCAGTCACTTCCTTAAGAAAGCTAGCGAGAATGAGTGTTGGTATTAATATAAAGTGTCCATTATTGTTGTCCAGTCTTAACAAAAATTGGAATGTGCTTACACATTTTAGTAAAACTCCCAAATATCAAGTTTAATTAAAATTACTTCAGCTGTTCTTGAGTTGTTTCATGCAAGCAGATGGACAGACAGACATGACAAAGCTGGTTTTTTTTTTGTGACTTTAGTTGTGAACACATTTAAAAACAGTTATAGGTATGAACATCTAAAATTAGTTTTGTGGTTATTTCTGCTTACCCAGCAATAAGTACATCATATGCTGGTGAAGCAGAACTGATAGAATAACTGCTTTCATTTGCCTCCCAATAAATTTAAGTTTTGTTGATTTGCAACTTTACCTATGGATCAGTGATATAACATCTCGTTTGACAAGTGGGCACTACTGTATCTTTCCTGGAATGACAAATATTTAAGAAAAGTTATAGATAGACTTTATAGCTTTGTAAAATAAATGGAAGCCATTTATGTATAGTGTAAGATGTTAAGTTACAGCATGAAGTTAATAAAATGGAAATTATGGTGTAACATTGCTTTTCTCATGTTTGGTTTCAATTCCAGACAAGTGAGAGTGTACTGATCCTGAGAGATGGTAACAGTACAATTTATCCACTTGCGAAGGATTGTGTGGACAGTATTCGGGATCCTCACTGGCTAGATCTCCCACCAGTGCGGTGTGTAGGAGCTGGAACTCATGCCCTTAGTGTTGCTACTGGTTCTAATCTGAAGAATCAAGTGGCTGTCATTGTCCTAGCCTTGGAATCCCAAGTTCTCATGCCTAGAATACTGCGATGTGACTTTGAAGGTGTTAAGCAAGTGTTGCTGAATCTCGAACAAGAAGCTAGTAAGTATAATGGTAAGTTTTTCATAGTTTTGGCATCTGTAGTCACTTCGGCTATTTCTGTATTGGTTTCATAATTTTACATTGAAAGATAGGCTTTGTACGTTATCTTATTGATTTGTTCATATCTGAGGTGAATTGAAAAGGTAATGGCAGTTTGCATGTAAAATCCTGGCAATTTGTCAGACAAATACTCTTGCAGACAATGCTGCATATATGCTCCTACATGCTAAGCCGTGTTTGGGCATTTCATGGGGTAGACATAATGTTCAGAAAAGATCAGTACGTTTTGGCTCTGATTTCAGATTGTGTGTTGTTGTGCAGTGTGATGTAATTTGATTTTTGTGGTCAAATGAGGTAAAGCTCTCCGATATTCACAGAAGCATTGTGCAAGATACTTTTGGCTGAGAATTAGAGTTATTGTTGAATTTTCTCTGTTCATCATTGAACATCCTTTCTTTCAGAATGCTGCAATGATGTAGGATCTGCACTGCAGGGTATATTGATGGAACGGTGTGATGGTAATCGTAATATTTTCCATGCATGTGTCACAATGTGTACACCAACATCAAACAAGGATGGAGATCAAGGTGTGTAGAGTTACATTGCTTATGTTCCTTGGAATATCTTAGATCACAGCATTGTGTCCTAGCTGAGAAGGCTTTAAATTTTTCAGAATTGTTAAAATATGAACTCTGAAATGATTTGTAATGTATGGTTAAGAAAAGAAGTTTAAATCATTATATGCATCGATTTCCACTTTTTTGTGTAACTTTTAGACGCTGTGCACAAACTGTTTCCCTTTTCAATTTTTAAAACTATAGTTTTATGTATGTACGTATATGTGTGTGTGTGTATATATATATATATATAGGTAAAAAACTTTGTGTATGTATATACTATGTGTGTATATCTGCTTCTGCCCACCAGAGGGAAGTAATAGCACTAACAACTCAGGACTTGAGTCTATCAACGTGATAACCAATGCTTTGGGTTCCCGCTCAGTGAGTCTGCGTGAGATGATGCGAAGAGCCACAGCTGCAGTTAGATCATCTGGTAAGAAAACTCTATTTTTTAAAACATTAATACTAGTGATGTGTGAACAGAGTTTTTTTTTTAAAAAAAAAAAAAGTCGAGTAGAGTTCGAACTGAACAGTATTAAAGTTCTTGAGTTTCGATTCAAGTTCGAGTTTAAGTAAGAAATCACCTTTATTAGATATATTTTGTTAGACCGATACACTGAAGACACAACAGTCCTGCCTTATCAGTGGTCCCACCTCCAACTCCTGCATATATTCAACCAAAATACATGTAGAGTTAGAGATTGATGCTCACTATGCACTATCAATAACACGGTTAGCTGACAGTCGATGGTTGATTTATCAATTACGAAGAAAATTCATCCCAGGTGTGATATTGGAAATGACGAAATAAGAGTTGAAACTTTTTTCGAACATTTTTATTAGTTCAAGCCAGGCAGAGTTGTTTCTCTCTCTCTCTCTCTCTTGAAATTCAGAACAGTTTGCACATCACTAATTAATACCCTGTCATCAGCTATTCTCCATAAGAATGTAATAATTTGTCTTGTATGTTTGCTGTAAAATTTAAAACAAAAATTGTGTGCAGAACGTGATATGGCTGTGGATGGAGGAGCACATCAACCATTGGCAGATGAAGCCATTCCAACCTTGAGCTGGCCACCAGAGACATTTGACCCAACATCTGGTGATGAGGACAGTCTTATGGGTCTTGGGGCCTCAAATACGCCTAACACAAAACCCACAACCAGCAGTAAGTAAATGTGGTATTGGAAGACTGAAAATGTTTACCTTTATCTTCCTAGCGTTCCCGGCCTGGGAACGTAAGTTGTGTAGTCAGCCCTACGAACGTTCCCGGAGGGGACCTCAAAACTTGCAACATTGTAAGAAGACTTGGCTACGTCTTTTGGCCTATTTTAGGGGCTGCAAATATTGAATCACTTTCTCTAGGGTTTTTACAAGGTCAGCCTGAGCTGTCAACTTGGAAACTATAACCATAAACAGCAACAAACATTGTTATTGTCAAGTGAGTTTCGGCTTCGTTTTCAGGCCCCTAATCAAAGCTTCTCACATTCCTCGGCATGATGGGTGAGAATAATGTGTATCCACCGAAGTAGGGGAGACAAATTTTTCTGTGTGGTCATTAGTTCACAACCACTTCGAATGAGCTTCAAAAGAACAAAGTAAAGTTATTAAGGCCTATTTAGGCAATTAAGATATTAACTGCATTTTTAAAGAACTCTATCTATTCTCTGTTCTATTCGAATAAATATGGCTTTTATTTTGTCAATTTATCATGTTTACTTTAGATAATATTAAAGTTTTCCGTAGAGTGTGCACAAAATTTTAAAAACCTGCAAAGAAACTCCGTAGGGCTGCTACCACTATGCCATTTAAATCCCTGTCATTTAAAGGTTAATTAGAATTGTAGAAGAACTTTTTCAATTTGACTTGTAATGATTATGATTAACCTGCATGAAAGTACAAGCACTTGTCATCAAATTGGCAAGAAGATAAATCAGTCACGATCACAGTTTGTGTATGCTGTCTGGGTAACAGAAGACATTTAACCTCCATTGTGACTAGTCCTTTTTATGTAGGGCAATAGATCTGTCATTAGCACTTCCTGTTGTAAAGATCTGTATATCTTTTGCATAGTTTAAGATAAAAAAAGAATGTGTCTGTGCACAGGCTATCATCAAAATTTGGAGCGGCTGACTTTTTTTATAGTTTGTTTTTGCGAAGCACACGTGATAATGGAATGTCTGTATTTTAAATATGGCCATTTGAGTCATTATGTATCTCTTTCTGCCAATAGGATTATGTTTAAAAATATCCCCACCTTTTGAATTGCAGTTTTACATTACCATTTGCAAAGTACTGATATGGAATGTTAAGCATGGCATTCATTTCATTGATCCTGCAAAAGAGAATTCTCATTTGTTATAACTTTATCAGTCTTGAAGATTTCCGTCTTCTGGGTTGTTGCGCTGTGTAGTCTGGTTGATGTTAACACCAGAAGACGGAAATCTTCATACTCACCGCTATGAGAACCTCAAGTCTTTATCAGTCTTGTTCAGATAGCGTGTTTGTTGTTTATTCCAGGCTTGTGCTGGATATATCAAAATTGCTAGCTAGTATTTATCATTTTGTTGATTCTTAACTAAAACTAATTGGCAGTACTGCTTGTACTCTGATATTCAGATATTACATAACTTGGATTATTAGCCTCTTTTTAATTTTCTCTTGTTCACGTGAATAGTGAAATTCTTTTGTTAACAGTTGTTTTTGTTTTTCGGACAGGTTCAGGCTCTGGTGTGACATGTAGTAATTCATATGTTGTGGACCCAACAGAACGCAAGAACAATGCACTAATGGCACTGCAATTGTTGTGTGAGAGTTCTGCTTTAAGTTCACACCTAAAGGAAATGCTTGTTGCCAAGTGAGTTAGCAGTTATATGCATTTATAAACTTAGGAAAAAGTAATTTTGTTAAGCAAGGCTTATTTACAAATAATGTAATCACTCATTCACTTAGTACTCAGTATTTACATGTCACTGAACAGTAATTGTGTTTACTTTTTTACAAATTGGACTGTATACTTTGTAATCTGGTCACATTTCAGCCATATGTTTATCTGTTTTACATGTAAATGAAGATAATTTATTTGTAAGTCCTTTTAATTAACTTTATGTAAAGATATTTTTTTAAGAAATTTTAGATTATTGGTAAGTGGATCTTGTTAAATAACTACTATGTTTAATTGAATTTGTCACATGCTTGTGTGTGTGTGTTATTGTTCTTACAGAGATGCACAAGGGCTCACACCATTCATGTTGGCAGTAACCTCACGTGCATATGCGGCAGCTCTAACACTTCTCGATACAATCCAGCGTGTGGCAAACAAGGAAACGACTCCTCCTCCTAGTCCATTGGCAGTTCCATCATCATTACCTACAGCTGAGCCACAAACTGCTGGTGTTCCCTCAGTTTCTGAATCATCCCAGCAGCAACAGAAGGCTTGTGCAGTAGCTGCCATGGTGTACCCTATTGGTTCAAATCCAGATGATTCGCCACTTCATGTTGTTTGCTGTAATGATACATGCAGTTTTACGTGGACTGGAGCTGAACACATCAATCAGGTAAGTACTATAATTGTATTTGTCTTAAATTACACATAAATGGACATAAACATGTTATTTAGTGTAATTTATGTTTAATTTAAAGCCTGCTGTATATGAAAACTTATCTGGATTGTACGCATTGTGTTACAGTCATAATTTGAACTTACTACATGACAAACTTATTAATGTGTAACTCTTCATAATATGTGTCCTTCACTGATCATTATTCTGATGGTCATATCAAGGAATATCAGATGGGCAGGACATAGAGCATTTGTGGGATTAAGTGTGTGCAGAATAATTTTAGTTATAAAACCAGAAAGGACACTTGGATGATCTTGGTGTGTGCCAAAAACAGTGGCTTCTACACTGTCTGTTTATTGAAGATTATAGCTTGGTAATTTTCATTCTTTTCTTAATGGTTGGTACACTCCTAGCTTCTGTGTTTTTGTTAGACATGGAGTTGAATAATATATATATTTTTTACGTTGATGTTTCTCATTAAATTGAATCAATACATTTGCAGGATATCTTTGAATGTCGCACATGTGGTTTGACTGGTTCATTGTGTTGCTGCACGGAATGTGCCAGAGTGTGTCACAAGGGTCATGACTGCAAGTTGAAGCGTACTTCCCCCACAGCTTACTGTGACTGCTGGGAGAAGTGCAAATGCAAAGCCCTGATTATGGGTCAGCAAGCAGCGCGCTATAACTTGCTGTGTCGACTTGTCACTGAGACTGAACTTGTTTCTCAGCCAAACAGCAGGTAAGGGACTGCAGAATTTGACATTATAATATTGCCTGTCCTAATAACAAATTGATTTAATTTTGTATATGCTGCTTTGATATGTGTGTGCTCTAATTCAGTTCAGCAAAGCCTTTCTTGAGATCCTTATAATCTTTCAGATGGTCAAGAAATTCCCTGCCTTTTGTGGAAACCAAAGGTTCATTATTGTATTTGCAGTATCATAATATTTTATTGTTCTGCTAGGAAGAAACCCTTGTCTAGATTCTTGTTTAGAGAAGCATTGTGTTTTTAATTTATGATTTAGCCAGGCATCTACAATAAATTTTGTTTCATTCTACTTATCAGATTGTTTTCCAGTACTTGAAATTCTAATGAAAGTTAATTCACTTTGCTATTTTATGGTCAGCCCAACAATTTTATTTGCTTTTCATTGCTGGTAATGTTTTACAGTTATTTACAGTCCTGAAATGATTTATACTGCAAGCCGCCTCAGTTATTTACAGTCATTCAGTAAAACAGAATAAGCTGCATGCATTAGAAATGTAGTTATACAAATAGTCTAAAAATAAACATTTCTCAGCACAGGGCATTAGAAAAGCTTTTGAAAACATAACACTTAAAGGTACAATAGTACTTTCATTACTGTATTGTAATTAGAACTTACAGTAGGCAAATTGTTAATGCAAAGTGAGGTTTTTATGTTACAGCAGTAGACATTTTTATTTCATAATACCTGCACATTAATTATATTGTAAATGTGAGTCCCTCATTAACAGAGAAATTTTATTTATTCTCCTATCAGAGGTGAGAGCATTCTGCTCTTCCTGGTTCAGACTGTAGGACGCCAGTCAGTGGAGCAGCGCCAGTATCGAGCTGCAAGACCAAGAAGTGCATCTGCGTCCAGTAGGAAAACACCATCATCAGACCTTGGTATGTACTTGCTTGTGGTATGATGATGGTGGTGGTGATTATAACGATGATGATAAGTGATAAATCTCATTGTAATTTAAATTTTTGTGGACCTTATGTGAACTTCCTACTAGTAGGATGAGTGTGAATGAAACCTGCAGTTAATTGCATGTTTGTTGAATGTACTATTCTTTTATTTTAAATTACAGATAAAATTTTACATAGCTTTTATATGTGGACTTGTGATTGTTAATGGAATTTGTGTGTTTATTACTTCAGAGGAAATAAAGTAGTCAGTAAAGTCTAGATCAAAACAACATACACATCACACATTCAGCCTAAATCGTGACTATATCTGTAGAGTGGGCACTTGGTATTTTGTGTGGGTGACAACCAGTAAACTATGAGAGACACGCAGGCTGAAAGGAGGCGACAGAGCTTAGGCCCAATTGTGCTATTGCTGACAAAAAAAATTTATTAGTTTTAAACTACTGCTCATGTTCATTAGGCCTAGATCACTTTTTGGAATGCAAGGTACAGTTTATGATCTTTATGCTCCCGTCCTCTTCCGCTTGCTCCATAGGTGATATAGTTTGCCTGCTTTAGTGCAGCTACTGCTGAAGGTAAGTTTGTATTTAAAAGTTTTCAACTTTGCACCATTCAATGGCAACATGGCCCACTGCCAAAACATCAGTGATGGTGCTACCTTTCAAATAAAGTAATTTTTTCTCTCATTGTTTGCAGTTTTGTTTATTCATCTGTGAAACATTTGCCTTTTCCCCCGCTATTATTGAATTATGTTTATGGATTTTCTGCCCCCAAAACAATAATGCTCATTTCCTAATAAAATAAGTTCCAGGGGATGTCAGTTTGGATGGTGATGTGTGATTTATATTGACATAAGTATGATAATTTTGTTTATAAAGAATGATGGGTGTAACAAAATACATGTCTAAAGTTCAATGAAAGGAAATGAAAGAAAAAATACCACACTGCACATTAACAGTAATGTGGACAAAAATTTTCCTGGTATTTATTCATTTTTCTTTATTTGTGAATATGAGATAACACAATTTTTTGTACTCTTGGTATTGTCTTGTAGTGATGTAAATATGCTATTCTGTGCCATAAATTGTGTGTGATAAAAACACACATTGGCCATACACATGGCATTTTAAGTCTTTCTTTATATTAGAATTTTGTGAGTATGTAGAGTAAATTCATTGCTCATTACTTGCTGAAAATAAGTTGTAAAACTAAGCTTACTATATTCATGTGGCTTGCCTTCCTTGGTTTTGTTACGTGTTGGACCACTGCAAAATAAAATTCCAACTTTCAGCATATTTAATTTCAACAAAGTCTTAAGTATTGGAAATTCAAGTCTTTGAATGTGACATGCACCCCACTTATCAAAGCAGCCATTCTGAGAAAAGATGTCTTTAGTATGTGAATATGGCTTGTAGTACCACTTTGATTAAAATTCTTCTGACCCAACCTACAACTTTGGATGTGTACCTACATCATTTGTTTTTCAGAGCCAGATGTACCAGATCATGATTTGGAGCCTCCCCGGTTCAGTAGAAGGGCATTGGAAAGACTTCTCAGTGACTGGTCAGCAGTGCGTGGGATGATTATGTCTGGTGAGTAGCTTACAGAATCAGAACTGCAAGATAAACAAAAGCTAATGTCTTTGCACTTGTTTGTTATTATTATTATTGTAATGGTGCCTCAAGTGGCCATTACTGCTCATACCAGGTGTTCTTACGTCACTGGTAGACATTTAATTTTACTCATCTGGCTGGAGCCATTTTGCAGTTACCACAGGCTGCAGAGCCTCTGAAGAGAAATTCTGTAGTTTAGACACTTAAATAGAAATTATACATCTGGACTGAACATACTTTATAGTTGTACTGAAAGACATCAAATAATTAAAATGGTTAAATAATTAAATAGAATATAATATTCTTTCATGGGTGTTTTCATTCGGTAAACAAAATTTAGAGTGGAGACCACCCAACTTATATGCAATTATACATATAGTAAAAGGATATGTATGTGTACTAGGGCCATCAAAAGCCCTCAATTTGCGCCGATTTTGAAACCAGCAATTCAAAAAGTGAAAAGAAAATTTTTTTTGCTATTATTTATAACGTTTTACAATGTATCTCGTACTGATTCTTATACTAAGTCGTAATTCTTACATTGCTGATTTTGAATAAAAATTATAAATACAGTTATTTCTGCAATTAAGTGTTTCATTAACACGAATTTGCTCCAATGAGATCGATGAATCGGTAAAAGCTGTTTGTGAAATACAAACTTCTGCATATGCGAGTTTGTTCTTATGCAATTTCATTCCTGGCGCTTTAAACTTTCAAAGGACTAATTTAATCTCTGCGGATGTACCGGGGTTATTTTTACTACATGATTTTCTATAGGTCAGCGTCTTACATGGCATGTCATTGACTTCCCATTGATTTACAATATAAAAGAGTTTCAATATACGCCGGTTCGTCCAGGAACACATCCCCTGCGTAAATCGAGGGCTACCTGTATTTCCATGAAACTCCCCCATCCACCTTCTAATGCTTGATTACAATAATTTCTTTATTCTGTGTGTAGGAAAGTAAACTATGATAAATTTTGTTATTAATGACATACAGTAAAACCTCTGTTAACCGACCTTCAATTATCCGACTCCTGCATTAACTGACCGAATTTCAGCTTCATAATGTTTGCTCACACCTGCTTTCCATTAACAAGTCATCTTGCCTGTTTGTTTTTAATTCACTGTAATTAGAGTGAAAATAGTAATATGTTAGTGGATTAATTTGAAAGCTGTTTGAACTTTGCAAACTCTCAAGAACATGTTTCCATCTCAAATTCAGAATTCAAGTAGAATATGAGAATGGTATCACATGAGTATGAATTGTATGGAGGTTGTAGAGTGTAAAAAAATTCAACTATTCTTTTGCACAGTTTATGTTTCTGTTCTCAATTTTTGGATTTCTGGTATTTATTATTTTGTTTATATAGGTGTGAAAGAGGTGTTTTCAACTTCACAACCTGTTTATGAAGACCAAACTTATTTGCAGAGTCAGACTGGAACAACTTTATTAGACAAGTTTACATATTGCCTTTTGGTGAAGTGCAGTGCTGAGGTACATACTAATTTCTGTATCTGTATGCTGTTAGTATGGTGCAGTTTGTTACACAGTATTAAGTTAGCAATGCTCTTATTTATTTGTACTATTAGATATTTGTCTAAGACTGTGAAGGTACATGAGCTTCTGTATGGAATTTTGTAATTAATTATCTCATATCTTGTGTGATAATCTGTTAATAGCCATACAACTATCCATTTTGTGATCATTGACATCAAGCAGATGGAAAACTCTGATGAGCTAACTGTTATTTAGACCAAGCCCATTCATATTGTTTCATAAAGAATTTTCAATTAAAAGACTTAGTTTTGGTATAAGAGCAAGACAGGACACAATAAAATCATGCCTGTGTAGATTTAATTTGCCAGACAATATAGAATACAAACTGTAAAAATTTAGCAGAAATAATTGAAAACATACTCTTACCTTGTAAGAAACTCTTTTTTTTATTATTTAGAAAGAATGTTGAGTATGACATTGAATTTAAGTACTTATGAAAATTCAGCATGGATTTTAACTAAGGTACTGCTATGTTCCATGGCTTTTGACTTATACTGAAGATAGTGTAAGATTGTCATAATCTGAGTGGGTATCACGTATTGAGAACGAAGAAATAAGTAAACTGTAATGCTGTTGTTGATAATTGAATGTTTATATTTTTGTTTCAGATGTTAGATACTCTTTTAACTACACTTATCAGAGAGCTCCAAAATGAATCACCCCCTAGTCGTTTAGCAGATGCGAAGGTGGTAGCACGCCGGTTTGTACGTTCTGTAGCTCGTATATTTGTCATTTTCAGCATTGAGATGGCTCCAACAACCAGTAAAAGAAGGGGGTAAGTGTAACTTCAGAATTGAACTATGTTTTCATTGCATCCACTGAGTGTGACCTGATTAACTGTTAGCTGTTCTGGATTTGGAAAAATTATTCAGGTCTGTAATGCAAATTTTGATTGATTGAAAATTATTCAAATATTCACCTAGATTCAATGTTCTCCTTTGTGAATGTATGAACTGCCATATAAATCCATGTATCTGAATGTGAGATATACTCATACTACACTTGAAGTGGCAGTAATATGTCTACTAGGGTTTTTTTCTTCTTTATGAAAAATCAGTTTTGCTTTTGGTCTCGAATGTGGAGTTATTCTAGTTTTTACATTGGGTGTTGTGTAAATAACAGTTATTAACATATTGGACCACAGTGTTGTAGTAAACATAAAGCTTTGAGAACTTGACAAAATTTTATGTTCCCCCTTTGTTGTTGTTGTTGTTGTTGTGTTTTTTTTTTTTTTTTTTTTTTTTTTTTTTTTTTTTTTTTTTTTTTTTTTTTTTTTTTTTTTTTTTTGTTTTTTCCCCCTCCCCATTGAAGAACTTCTTATCAGGGAAACACTATAGCTGTTATCTTCAAATGTACTTTTGTGTGTTGCTTTGAACTCTAGTTTGAACAGCATGTCTCAGCCACTGGTGAAGTGCAAGAGAGTTTTCCAAGCATTGATCAAACTGGCAGTAGAGGAGTTGTGTGAAACAGCCGACTCACTTATAGCTCCTGTCCGGCTAGGGGTGGCTCGACCAACTGCTCCTTTCACTCTTGCCAGTTCCACAATTGATGTAATTAATGTGAGTAATACTCTCATTTTAAGCATGCTGCTGTAATAGTTGCTGTCTTTAGCCATGCATATTTCATTTTAGGACTTCACTTGAAAGAATGGCAAAAGTAATTACATTTAGCTGTTGCATAATCTTTCACCTCTTATACTACTTCTGAGCCACATGGCTCTCCCAGTGGGTTGCAGCCTGCTTCTCTTCCCAGCCATATCACTCACCTCTCACTCAACTTCTGTTGCCAGTTGTTATGAGAGCTTCCCTTTCCCTTCCACAGACATTCACCCTGAAGATGTCAATTGCAGTGGTTGCCAAGAAATTGGAACACCTTCAACGCATGACACAGCTCAACTGAAGAGCCAAAGTTGTGCATTAAACTCTGGCAACAAAAACTGAAGGACAAGAATTATGGAACCAATTACATGAATAAATACAGTGTCTTGCCCATTGCCTGATATAATTCAATATACTCATTTCAAGAGTTGGTTGATAGAGCAGGGGAGCATGGCACTCATAGCTAGTTATATCCTGATGCCTGAAACTGTCTTCTTTTCTATGTTATTCCATTTAGGGTTCTGAGGAGTTGTTTTCTGTAGAACCTCTGACTCCTCATGGTGGGTATCTGGCAGGAGGACGACCTCTAGTTGGCAACATGACTGGGTCATCTCGTGGTGCAGAGGTGTCTCGTCCTGGACTGGCAGCCAGTGTTGCTCGAGCCAGAGCAGCAGCAGCTGCAGTAATGATGCTAGATGATGCTGATGCAGTAGAAGGTGAACATGCAACTTTGCTTAGATATTCCTTTGTACAAAGATTCCAGCTTGTATTAATGTGTGTGCTGTTTGTCACTTGGCTTTATATCCTTTGTAACATAGATAATGGTTTGAATATGGGCAGGTTTGGTTGCTGAGGATGGAGATGGTGAAGGCAGTGAGCAAGAGGATAATGCAGATAGGAGTGGTGGTGTAGGCGTGGGAAATGGGGAAGCAATGGAAGCAGAAGTTGGAGATCTGGTAGGAGGAGTGGGGGGGCCAGGAGATGATGCCCAGGGAGATGGGGAATCAGATAATGAACTAGACCTTCTGGCAGAAACAGAATCAGACTCAGATGATAACCATAGCAACCAAGATGCAGCTTCAGCTCAGCGGAGTGTGCAGACTGGAGCTACTGCAGGATCTGACACAGGTAAAATAAAACAGAATTTCATTAGAAACTGATTCTTAATTTGGTAGGTTTTTACTGTATATGTTTGTGTAATTAGTGCTTTAAATGTAAGAGGCATGCAGATATTATGTGTGTTTTGTAAGTATATTCACAGGAAGCTTCTCCTAGATAAATGTGAGATAGAAAAAAGTAGGATACATTGATGATAAAAAGTATTAATATATTTAAAAATAAGTAATACGGTCTTGAAATTTGAAACAGAATGGTTAAGAAAATAAGGCATAATTCACGTTTTATGTTCAGTGTGATCAGTGAGAATCAGAAATTAAAACTTTACTGATTTCTGTGGTTGCCAAAATTTCTTTCAGCTAAGCCTAAAAGCCAAAGGTTTACATTTGCAGAAGTAAACAAGTTTTTAGAGCTTTTATTATTTGTTGGCATGCAGAATGAAATATAGAAATAATAAGTACAGTATTTTTTAGGCATTTCTGCATGAATGGTCTTTTTATTTGGATCATCTTCCATTTCCACATTTATAGGTCAACTTTCACATAGGAGTGTCCTGCTACCTGTATCTGCCCATTATTGTGTTATGTCTACTCCCTAGTTTCCTTCTCTCAATTCCACATCTCTCATAACTTGGTCTAGCTAACATGTGCTACATGTGAATTCTGATACATATATTTATACAGTGAAACCTCTATCCATCGTTCCCGGAACTATCGTTTTCCCGGATGCATCGTCCGTTTTGTTCGGTCCCGAATACATCCCATATAAAATAATGTTACATTTTCCCGCTTCTATCGTTCCTCGAACTATCGTTTTATCGCATCGATCGTTCAAAAATCTTAGTCCCGGCCCACAATTTTCCCGCAATGATCGTTCCTGAGAATTTAAAATGCTGGGTTTAGAGATAAATTAATACCGAAAGACGCACAATGTTTTTGGAATAAACAGTAGCGGTAACCTGTTATGTCGCCCAACCAGCACATTCTTTTGGAATGAGGGTCAGCGGTGCAGGGGTGATAGTTGGAGTGAATGGCGGTGCCCATTGTCAGAAATTTTACGATTTTAATTAGGGTGCACTCATATTTCGTTCCAGCGATGCCAGATGGCATGTGCAGTGTGAATTTCTTCACAAATGCTTTTATTACAAGGACAAAGGAAAGGCGAAAGTGCTGCTGTGGATGTGGAAATAACGGAGCTGTGGCTCGAGAGACTGCCAACACTGCTGGAGGGATATGAGCCGCGGGACATTTATAATGCGGATGAGACCGGACTTTTCTACAACGCCCTCCCGGATAGGACTCTGGCATTGAAAGGTGAATCTTGCCACGTTTTTTTTAAATTTTTAATGCTTTCCCGCATCTATCGTTTTCCCGCATTCATCGTTTTTATTTCCCACCCCCGCCGAAAACGATGCATCGAGGTTTCACTGTATTTGGTATTTTAGCAACTTTGTATATTTTCTTGTGCTTAAGTCAAGCAAATCATGTCTGCATAAATGGGTGCAGGATTTTGTATTTATAGTAGATTCTGGTTACTTGGGCCATCAGTTAATCGGGTCAGCTGTTTATTTTGACAAGTCTTAAAGACCAATAACAAATCGAGAAAATAACTGCAATTTGCTTCGCTTATTTGGGACACCATGCTGTTTAATCGGGACAGTGAGTGCTACATGGCGCGCTTGTGATGTGTGGCATGGGCAAGTCAGTGAGTCATCGCTGATTCACACAGTAATGAACACGAGTGTTCAGGCAGTGTAGCGATTCTGCGTAATTATTTTTCTCTGATCTGTACCATTTGTTCCAGAATTCATTTACAGTATTTTTGTTGCTCAATAAAGGAGTTTGTCTTTTGTTTTAAACCTTTTGTAACTCTTTATGTGAAACTTCGCATAATTGGGGTTGCTGCTCAGTTGGGCCAAAGTGTTCTAATCCCAATGTGTCCCAATTAACCGGAATTCACTGTATAATAAAGTATCTAAAGTAGGCTTCTGAAATGCCATTTCATGTTGGTCTCTCCTCTGTTTTATTGTAGTAGAAAGTTGGATTCTTTAATTTCTAGTAAAGATTTCCATTATATTTTCACAGTACTCTGTGTAATAAGTTGTAAGAAGTACTTCACACATTGGTTGAGTGTGCATTGAATCCAGACACACAATACCATTTAAAGAAGCTTGAAAGTGGGTTTTTTTCTCATAATAAAGACTTCATAATGTATATCAAATTGAAGTTTATATTACAAAATGATAACTGGGCAGAGTAGTTTTGTCTGTTTCTTTTGTTTTCGTAATTAAATTATCAACCGTGACTGAACATAATTTGAAGTGAATTTATTATGCTGGTTTAAAACACCAGCAGATATTGTTAGATGGTATTTCGGAATT